GGGTGTGGCGTCGGCCGCTGTAGGCTGTACGCTGACAGAACTCTAACGATGGGAGCAGAGATCGGGGCAGATACACCGGGCCCGGTGTGATACACGGTGTCGCTCAGACCATTAGTGGGCGTCTGGTGGGCTGGTGTGTCCCGACCTCAGACATCATCGCCCTATCCTCGGAGTCCTTGTAGCCTAGGGGAAGTTGGGGCAATGCCGGAGTTGGGGCAAAGCCGAAATTCGAGATATTTCGAAAACCGTAAGACATGGATGCCACCTGTCAGTGATGCTCTGAAGCTTAAGTGACTACAATTATCGCATGTTTGTTACGAGTCGTCATTCGGAATACTTCGACTGTGAGGGCGCCAAGAGCGTTTTCAAGGTACGTTTCCCTTGTACTACATGCGCCTTTGAAGCTGCATTTCTTACTCATTATGCTACCGTTTGTCTGGCCAATTCGGTCAAGTAATCTTTAGCATGTCTTTGCATAAGTGTGCTGCCTATTTGAAATTTATACAGCACGTTGAAAAGTTATGGGCCTGCAAATGAAAGTATGGCAGGCTGGGGTAATGCCGAAAACGTGCGATTACGCACGTGTTAAAAGCACGCTACGTGGACTTTACTGCTGTAGAATAGCAACGCGTATTTTTAGTCACACAAATTACACTTTCAACCGACACAACGGCCTGTTACCTATAAGGAATGATTTACCTGGCATGTTCTTATTATATCACACAATTATAACTTCCAGTGTGCACCGCGTCCTCAAGCTCTTAAAACGCGTGTCAACTTTGATCAATTCTGGATAAAGTTTGAGATAAAATGGCAAAACATCAATGTCGGCATTCCCCGTAGATCATTTCTCCCATTTTCGGCTTTCCCCGCAGTCCGGGGCAACGCCGAAAAAGTCACTTCTTTGATATTTTTAGTTTGTGCGCTTAACGGTATGCGAATTCATCAAATGCGCCTGGTATGTTTGAAAGGCAAAAGACTGGCCTCTCGAATGACGCCAACAAGAATAGCTTATGTTGTCTACCTTGCGTGCTACGGGCGTCAGAAAAAAAGTCTTCGGCGTTCCCCCAACTTCCCCTATACCTTCTTTTGACGGTTGGGGTATAAAATGAAAATGTAAAATAGAGCACGAGTAGCGAGCTGTTGTTTTTAGGAACGTAAACAAACACTTGACTGCTGTTTTACTTGCCCTGATTAAGCAGTTAATGGAATCGTTTACCTCCTCAAACCCTCATGACTATGCAAATGCTGGGCTCAGTTTTATGCCCCATCTCGGCCGCGGAAGCTCTCTCCATGGCTTTCTCATAGGACGACCGTCGCCACGGGACGGCACCTCTTTAGGTGGTGAGCAGACGGACCCAGAATTGGGGCGGCCGGGTGGCCGGACGGTGGGTGGCGCCCCGCACATACCGACCATAATGGACCGTCCGATTTCAATGTAAATCGGAGTGTGCCGGGCGCAGGGCGCCGCTCTCTGGCGGCCAGTTTATGACACCGGCCGGGTCACCGGCGCCGACCCGTAACTGTCACGCGCTGAGTGATGTCCGCCGCCGCGCGGCCGCGCTGAGTGGCCGCCGACACCAAAACACCACTAAAACAGCGGGGCCGCCGGCCGCCTGATCAGCCGGCTTTGGTCGCCGCCTCACGCCCTCGCCGCCCGGCCGCCATCACCGTCAGACCCTCCATCGTCTCAGAGCCGCCGCTACTTTCAATTTAATCGCAGGCGCGGCGCCGGCGGCCGCTCCCGTCCGCATCAGCAGCTTGGACGGTCTGTGTTGTTATGAGTCACGTACGGCGGCAACTCTCTCTGTGGACGTTGTGCGTAGCCAGGGCGGAGGATTAGCCGGCCGCAGTAATGGCTGGGCAAACAGGGTCCTCCCCGAGGGACCGACGGCGGAGGAGAGGTCCACACCGGACCGCGGCGGCGGACAGACCCTCACCGAACACTGAACCCGGCTCAGTGATTATCGAGCGGCCACGGCGATCGCCGACTGTGGAAGGGAAGGAACCGCCCTCCTTCGGTCTCCGCGCGTCCCCCACAGCAGAACGGATGAACCGAGTGGCTCGCCCTGACTTCCGATGGGGTCCGGTGGTGAGGGGCTGCCGAGCTCGGTTGGTCCCTCGGCGGACTCGGGACAGTATCTGTTTGTCCGTCTGTGTCTGACAACAATAGAGCCAGACAGCAATCACTAGACCGTATGCGTTTTGATATAGTAGCCCAGACCATCTCAGTAGGCATATGGAGGCGTGTTGACTGGGCAGTCGCAGCTATAGGACTTTCGAGCAAATAAGACTCAGAGCCTGTGGCCTTGGTTGGGAATGCCCGCCGCGTTCGAAAGTTGGCCGCTTTGGTGTTGTGATTACTTTATGAAGGCTAATTGGCGCGCAGCCAGCGTTTTTCCAGAGGCGGAGTTCCTAACGAGCGTGCTGGAAGCTAGCTCGGCTCGTGCTCAAGCTGTGGTTATTGCGTGCAAAAGTTTTTGGTCAGTTGGGTTCTCGTCTTTTTCTTTCCCTCCAAGCAATACATAAATGATGTGATTTTTTGCCGATTTTTTTTAGTTTAGTGTATATTTGTTATTCATGTTTTGTTTCGTCCACTGATCACCAATTTTAGCATTGTATGCCTATAATCCTATTTCTTATTATTCATTCGCTGTTATTCATATTGACAACTCCCATTGTTCTGCAACATATTCAATGTAGACATTCCCCTAGACACTGTCATCTTGCCATTCCTAACTCCTCAATCATCTCGGTACCCGTTTCTGGTAACGACAAACGCCTGAGTCGTCTCCCCATCACCATTGTCGGCGCTGCCTCTTATGGGTCTCGTATGGTCTGGTGGACTGCCTCTCTAATTCCCATGCCCGCTGTGCACTTCAGTCGCCACACCACCACTTCAAGCTGAATACACTTATGCTGTCTCCCCTCCCTCCACATCTACTAATTCTCTCTCTCTCTCTCTCTCTCTCTCTCTCTCTCTCTCTCTCTCTCTCTCTCTCTCTCTCTCTCTCTCTCTCTCTCTCTCTCTCTCTCTCTCTCTCTCTCTCTCTCTCTCTCTCTCTCTCTCTCTCTCTCTCTCTCTCTCTCTCTCTCTCTCTCTCTCTCTCTCTCTCTGTCTCATTGTCTCTCTCTCTCCTTCTCTCGCTCTCTGTCCCTTCTCTCTCTCCCCATCCCTCTCTCTCTCAGCTGCCTTTGTGCCACCAAATGGTCTCCACAACATATACACTGAGACCACCAACCTCCCACTGAATCTCAATCCCGACGTCCTTGAGTCGACTGCCGTCTGTGGCCGCTAACCCTGCCCTGCCATCAACTACCCCACCCCGGCAACTGCCCTGAGCCCTCCTACGGTCCCAGCGAGACGTGAGTAGATGACCATGCACGATCTGCAACCCTGCAGCTTTCATGTCAAGGGGCCATTGAGCTGCTGATGTCGAGTTGGCGTCACTGCCATCGGTGACATGCGTGCCTCCCCGCACTGGTTACCATCTGGGCTATCTCCGCCTACTTGCTTCCGTGGTCGCCAGAGACATGAACGTCGCTTAGAGGAACGAGCAAAAAACTGGGCTGATATCTGTCAAGTTTGCCGCGTGGGCTGGCTATATTAGCTCGGTTATTAGCCTGAAGATTAAAGTTTGCGAAATGAGTTTATTGAACGCCATTGGAACGTTTATATTTGGGAGGCTCTCCGTTCAGAACCATTTAGGCCACCAAGTTTCTGGAGAATACATTACATTCGTTGCATATTTCTTATTCTTGTGGTCCAGCTTGACATCAGACGTGCATATTTCGTTTCAAGTTGTCGGTTAGTGCCTAAGTGGGCGTGTAATGTCGTTCCTGCTTTGGACATGCAGTCACAGCGTGTAGCTGACGTGTCCTCGTGAAACTGCCGGCAGCGGCTGCCACCGGCTCCCCCGCGTCACAGCCGCCTTCCAGTCCGTGTGACTGGCGCGTGTGACTGTCGCACTCACGGTCACACGTCACGCGAGGTCTGTCACGAACTCAAAACTTCCTGCAACCTTTCACCAGTAACGGAATGCGGGGACGTCCTCAGTCTGTCCTGTCGGTGGCTGGTCCTGCCGAGGTGAATCATCGTGTGTGCACTGGTTTGTGAGTCACTGCTGCACTGCCGGAGGGCCCGGATATGACGACTGATCACCACTCACTACCTGGCGTCCCCTGCCGCCGTGCCGTGCCGTGCCCCCGTGCCGTGACCTTGGCCGTTGGCCGTGCGACTGTCCGGTTGGCTTTGGATCGAACCCCTCACAGACTGCACGGCCAAGGCTACTCGGGGGAGCGGCGGGGAGCGAATCGTTCTGAATTGACTGAAACGTCGGTCGACCACCTCTTGTTAATCGTCACCTGACCAGCCTCTGTCGTGGTCCAGCACTTTTCGTCGTCTGCCGTTTACTCTTGCCGTCCGTTCGGTGATTGGTATCGTAGCTTTCCGTCCACTTTTCCGTTTTTCGTCTCTGTTCCGAACGTTTCCGACCTCGTGTCAAACCTGTCCGACCGAGGTCACATCGTCAACTACTGTCAGACCGAGGTCAGATGGTCAGTAGCTGTTAGAGCGAGGTCAGATTCCGTCTGACGCTGTCAGCAGATGTCAGAAGATCTTTTAAGTGTAGGGTTTTAGCCGAAACTCTCTGGGCTGGGCCTGTCGAGAAGTGTTGGGCTCTGCCGGGCGCCAGACTTTTCGTCTCTCGAGCTGGCGCTAGAACTGGGCTCGGGGCTTCTGTTCTTAGAACATCAGCTCCAGAGTTGGGGCGTGAAGGACGGGCCGGCCGGAGGGTCAGCGCGGCGCCCGGCCGGCGGCGTTTTCGGGGGTGTGACCGGGGCGCCGGCGGTCGGCCGGCCGGCCACATGTGATCGATAGGGAGGTGCCGGGCCGGGCCGGCGACCGACCGGACGGCGGCGGCGGCGGCGGCGGCGGCGGCGGCGGAGAAGGCGCCGCGGCGGCTCGGCACCGGCCGGCCAGTCGGCCAGCCGCGGCCGCCCGAGCCGCCCGCGCGAGTGGTCAGCTCCGGCCGCCCCCGCCCCCGCCCCGGTCGCCAACGATCTCTGGTGCTCAGACGTGAGACAAACTGTGAGACGGCCACCATGTGGCAGAAACTGGACGAATTCTTCACCCAAAAGTGCTGCCTGTCATGTGGGAAATCGGCTTTAGGTGAGTAAACAGTTGAGACTCAGCTGCAAGTGAGCCATCTTTGAACGTTCAAAACGATTTGACTTACGTTCAGCTGTATCCAGCTTTGTTCGTATCGCAGCGATCTGCTTTCAACAAATGCTCCTGTCGATTTATCGATGTCGAGGGAAGGCGCATGCTTGTGTTTTGCTATCCTTGAGATGTCAGTAGAAATATCAGCTAAGATCTGAGTCACGAAGGGCTGATTTCTGCTATTATTGGTAGAGGCAGCATGCTATCGATTGAGTACCTACGGAGGTGACCGTAATGCTCGAGAAACCTTAAGTGCAGATCTTTTCACACATGAAATCAGTGTATATTAAAACCATTTTATATTGTATTTGCTATTTATGTATTTACTTATTCATTGGATGATGACTGGGAGTGTTTCACTAAATCGGGTTAAACTATTCATTTTCCTCTAAATGGTGTATCTCTGTATGCTTAGCCTCATTGTGAGCCGGCGTCCTTCACTGCACGCGATGCGGACGTGCGGTGACCCTCGGCGGCTGCGTATCGGTCAGTGGACCCGTTACTATTGGGGACCCAGAACCAGTTTGGCCCGACTGCGCTACCCCACACGTGCACACAGCGCGGTCAACCGGTCGGGCAGCGGGGCCGGCCAAAGGGTGTCGAGAGGCCGGCCGGAGCAGGGCGCGGTCACCTCATGAATAGAAAGGCGTCGGTCAATTAATCTCTCTCGCCTGGCGTGGTCAGGGCCCGGGCGGGGAGGGGGCGGACAGGGGGGCGGACAGGCTCAGGTCGTCTCGGTCGGGCTGAGAAATAGCCAAGGTGTTTATCCCGGGATAAAAATATCAGGTGCCGGTAGGAAGACTGATATCGTGATGTAACTCAAAACTGTTGCTGTCGGTCGGTATTAGTATTCGCCGATGGAGAAAGCTCTAAAGCGAGTCCATCAATAAATACTTTGACTGATAAACTGGAATCCAGAAGAATATATGGGTGAAGGCCGAAGGGTTAGTGGGTGAGTTTCCCAGGTGCCCTTTACTTTTCGATAAATTGGTGGAATGAGGTCGCCCATTCCCCTGTCCGCCGTTCCTCATACCGGTCCCAGGTAGCCCGCCTTGTAGTCACAGTGGTCACTGGTCAGACGGGTCGGCCGGTACGGCACCGTTGACACGCCTGACCCGGTTGTCACCCTGCCGGTCGACAGCGGGCGTCTCCCAACTCTGGGACCGCCGCGACCGGCCCCGGCGTCCGCCCGACCGGCTGACCGGCTGCAGCGGGGCCGTGCTGACCCGGTCCGGCGGTGACCCGGTGCCAGCCGGTCTCCGCTGACCGCTGAGTGCTGACCGCTGACCGTCCATGTCGGCGCCGTGACCGCTCACGGAGATGGCCCGCTCCCGTGGCCGTGGCGGCGGCCGGTGACACTGCAGTGGGTCAGTCGGGGCGGACCGTTAGCTGACCGGCCCACGCGCCCTGCCGAGGACGCCGGCCGCTGCAGCTCGGCCCGATCAGCACCTATCTCCATACACAACACCGGTGAATGCCCACCGACCGGCCCACGGCTCACCGCCGCTACTAAATGCAGCCCTGCTGACAGTAATGACCGAATTAATGCGTACGGTAGTGTGTGTTACGGCCGCGATGCGTGGTCCCGGCGCGCCGCCGACGCCCGTGGGAGTGATATGCATGAGGTGGCCGACCGGCCGGGTGGTATATGAGGCGGCCACCGGCCCGTTAGAAAAACCTCACACGTCGTCACCGGCCGCGGCCTTCTGTGGCGACCGGCGGAATGGGCGTAGAGCGGGAAGTGCTGTATACTGTATGAGGGACTACCTGGTTCGGAATCTACCCTATGGTAGCTAAGCTACCCCAGCGTTGCCTTGGTTTGGTTGCTCTCGATAGCCAGGAGTATTACCAGCATCGATCAGAGACCGAATTTAGCGTCTTTGCGACGTATCACCCGTCAGTCTGACATCGCAATGCAGCATGCTTTATGGATTCCTTGGTTAAATAGCGCTTAGCAAGTGCACTGACCTCGAATGTCATTACATCTTTCCTTACATACTCTTCGCTGCGACTCATCAGCATTTTCTGATCTGAGATGGCACACGGTTGACAAACATGTCGATGTCTGGACAAAATTCGGGCGGGCTCATCATCGTCAGTATCGTCATCATCATCATGACGACGCCATCGTTTGGCACCTGCTGTTGTTGGTCGGCGGTCGGGTCCGTCCGTTCCCGGCCCGAAGCCATCGTGACTCTGCGGCTCGCTGCCGTCCCCTCCGGCGCCGGCGACCGAGCAGCGCCGTCCCGAACCATTTGAAATCAGCTCAGCGCCGCCGAGACCGTCCGCACTTTCCCAGGTCACGATTTGGTTTTATATCACGCCGTCTTGCGTTTCACCAGGTCACGGCATTCGGTCCGTCCGCACCGTTTTGCGCTGTCGAAGCCGTGGACTTCTGCGCTTTATATAGAGCCTCTTGAATTATCTGTTTGCTCCCGGAGTTCCATACTATTGCTCGTTTTCCTTGTTTCTCCTTTCTTTTGTTCTTCGTCAGCACCGTTAAATCTGTCGGTTCCAGGCCGAAGTAACCGTCTCCGCATTGCAGACTTGAGACGGCCATCGCATCGGTGCAGTGTCCGGTCACCGTCACTGTCTCCGGTCTCCGTAGACCGTATAACGAACAATCACTGCTCTCCGTGCAATGGCCACTGGCCGGTCACTGCGCTGCCGTCTCCGTGTGCCGTGGCCGTGGCCGTGCAGCGAACAATCACTGCAGTGACCGCTCAGCCCGGCGTCTCCGTGCAGAGGCCGTGTCGGCGCCCGGACGGTCACCGGTGTTTGCCGCCGCCGGCCGCCGGGCCGGACCGGTTGTGCTCGCTGCAGTCGGTCCATAACGTGTGCAGCGCCGCGCCGCCGCCGGAGCGTTGACCTGGCCGGCCATGGCGGGTGGACCGGCCGGCCTGCACCGGCCTCCGCCTGCTCCTCAGCCACCGGCCCAGACGTGCTGTATTGACCTGGCCCGGCCGAACCTGCCCTGCCGTTCCCCGCCGCGCCGCGATGGCCGTCCCGGCACAGCCCACCGGGTTACTCGTGTCCAGAACTGATGGCGCTAATACCACCGGCTTTGTCGGCTCTCGTGTGGCGTAATGCAGCCCGTGTCTCTCCGTCGCGCCGAGTATTCCATGCTATTGCCTCGGCTCCATCCCCAGTCTCCCTTGCCCGGTCCTTTCTCTCGCGACCCTATACCCGCGACCCAGTCTCCGTAGGGCATTTGCAGTCTGTTGCGATGACGGGTCGTTTTTGTGCTACCGGACCATCATTTTCGCTCGGCACGTTTTAGGACGCGGCCCGAATGTCTTTGGTGGTGCGGGGATGCAGATAATCTGTCTCGTATGTTGATGCACGCACGCTCCTTTGAAGAAAAAGGCTGGTTGGTTTATCTGGGAAAGGGTTTTCGTTTTGGTGTCAGAAAAACACGGGTGGAGACTGGAGGCGGACTGAATGACGAGCTAAACTCTCATTGAATTATGCAGAGTTCAGGCTGGAGGGCGTTCATGTTTGGAAAGGTCGCATTCTCCCGAAACTAGCCGGACGCTCTCTCCTCGTTAGAAGATGACCTTTTCCCTTGGAGTGAAATAAATTCCGACACGAGATGCTTGTGTGTCAGTGGACTGTTCTGAAATTAGGGCCGGTAAATTATATCTGGTATCACAGCTCGTACCTGGGTATCATCGCGGTGGTGTGATATTATCTCGAGCGGACACATTCATCAGGTGAGTCGGCCGACGCGCAGATATGGGTCGCTTCGCTGGGGCCCACCGGGGTCCGCCCAACTGACCGGACGTTTTTTATCTGTTCCAGAAACGGCTCCGTCTGTGCGCATTGAGCTGGTGCCCCCGGGCCACCGGCCGACTCAGCACACTGGTGGTGTCTACCAGAATGGCTACTTGCCTCAGAACGGAGTCCATCAAAATGGATACCTGCCCCAGAACGGAGTCCACCAGAATGGCTACCTGCCTCAGAACGGCGTCCATCAGAACGGCTCTGTGCCGAACGGCTACCCGCCGCACCATCAGCACCAGCACCAGCCGCCGCCGGCCATCCACCGAACCAAGCCGGCGCCGCCGCCGCCCGATGTATACGGCAGCGGCCCGCCGGCTGGTCAGACGGGCCCCTCCGTACCGGCCGGTCAGCGCGCCGGCTGGGCGCGGTCCGGTCAGCCGCCGCCGCCGCAGGCCGCCCTGACCCTGCCGCGCCCTCCCGGAGGCAGCGGGGGGCCGCAGCGGCCACCACCGGCCGCCGCGTCTGCAGCGACTCTGCCCTCCCAGTACCGCAGCCGCAGTCAGAGCAACGACGGCGCCCGGCAGCCGCCGCCGCCGCCGCCGCCAGCACCACCGGCACCACCGCCACCGCCAGTTCAGCACCAGCAGCACCAACACCACCAGCAGCAGCAGCAGCAGCAGCAGCAGCAGCCTCAGCAGAACAACCCGGTGAGTATTCTCTTTACCTTTTCTGCACGTTCTTTCTCTCTCAACCCCTCGTTGCGGCACCCCGGCATTTGCCATCCTCCGTTGAGCTGGTCCGTCGGTGACATACACGGCCGTAAACTGACCGCAGAGGCTTGAGAGCCGGCCTCCGTTGGTGAAATCGGCGGGCCGGCGGCGCCGAGAGCTCGTGCCGCCGCCGAGACGGGCATTCCGCGACCTCTGGGGCGGGATTAGTGTGACGGCCGAGCTAGGGACGGCACCGCTGGCCGGCGGCGGCAGATGGCTGCGGGCGCCGCGCCGCTCCGCGGGGATTGGTGTCGCTGCCCGGGGTTCGTTCCGCCAGCCAGCTCCGCAGCCGCCGCCGCCGCCGCTGCTGCTGGTGCTGAAATTCGGGTCAGCCACAAAGGCGCGCCGCTGAGGCAGAACACGATTGCGAAGGCGTGTGGCTGGTAGAGGCGCGGCAACCGATCATCCGCTGCACGCGGCGCAGGGGGTGGCTGATGAGCGTCCCTCGTAACTCAGCCGGTCGATTCAGCCCGCCGCGGCGCCCGGTCGGATTCAAAGCCAGGTCACCTGTCCGCCATCTGACGCGGGAGCTTTATTCACCTCCGTAAGCCGTCGATCTCCGCACACGGACGCCTGTGCTGTTTGTGTGATGGATGGGCTTCACCGATAACCGAAAGCCGCGTTTGTTCACCGGAGCTAAAGTTGAGAATAATTTTCAGACTGTTAGCGGCTGTAGCGTTTGATGATTTCAGCGAGAGCGTGCCTAACGGATTTCTCGCGGGCCGTTTCATTTGACCCTTTATTTCTGGCACAGTTCTGTAAGCGATCGTTCACGGTCCAATGCGGCTCGATTGGTGTTGATAGTTTAACGACGGAAGATTTATAGTTCCCGGATGGCGTCGGAACAATCGCCGCCCTAAACGATGGGTCCCACGATCAATGGAATGTTTGGGATTGTGGCACAATTATGATGGGGCCAATGGAGCTCGATGAAAACGATAAAGTCAATAGATTCGTCATTAAAATAATAAGCATCCTCCTTCGATTTCGAACTTTCAGTCTGGCAGGAGTTCTGCCCTTCGACCGCCGTATAGTGCCGATTCTTGCGACAGTAGCTAGTTATCATTAACTCCGCCTAGCGTCAAGCGGATCCAATTGTTTTGATCTCATTGGGCTGTCGATCTGCCGCTGATGCTGTTAATTCTGACAATAGCCGACATTAGGCAACGAGCCCCGTCCATCATACGCTGACTGCTGTAAATCGATCAGCGCAGATTAATCGGCCGCGTAGGCGGATAACCATACCACCGCGAACCATCCCGTCGCCATCGGGCGAGACCCTCCGTTCCGAACATTGCCGCGTCGGCACTCCTTCCCCACTGAGTCGCCTCCTCTCTCGACGTGTCGTGACCACCCCCTGCTGCATCTCTCGGCCGTAACTCGGCGCGGTGACAGCCGGTTGACCCTGGCGCGTCAGCGGCGGTCCCTGTTTGTACGACTGCCCAGCCCCGCCCGGTGCAGTACACACGTCAGCTGCCGCTGCAGCCGCCGGTGAGGTCCGTGTGTGCCGCGTCCTGATCCCCTGCAGCCGACTCCGACTCCGGCCGTGTTATCGGCCAGTCCGCCTGGCCGACACACAATACCGCCTGCAACACAATCCGACACGGCGGCGGCGGCGGCTTTTTGCGTGTCGAGCTCGGCGGGGCGGAAATGACAGGACCGGGCGCCGACCGGTGTCGGGCGGAGCTGTCACTCACCGCCGCCGTCGGAGCCGCCGTGAGAGCTGACGGGCTCCGGCGGGCCGTGCTGAGCTCCGAGCTCCGCACCCTCAGTCCACCCGGCCGGGCAGGTGTGGAGAGAGCGGCGTCCCGGCGCGCCGGCCGGCTGCAGCCGCTGTGCAGCCGAGCAGCGTCCCTGCAGCGGCTGCACTGGGTGGTGACCCACAGCCGACGGCCGGCACTGACCCATCTCCGCCCCGGCCGGCCGGCCGACGGCTCTCTCCGCTCCCCAATGCACCGCCGTCATCTCTCACGACACGACGGGCTTTTTGCGGCGCGCCGCGCGGCCGGACCGGTGTGTGGCGGTGGTGGCGGCGCGCGGCGGCTAACGGTGCGCGCTGGTCACCGCCGCGCCGCGCCGTGCCGCCGCCGGCCACCGGCCCGCAAAAAGCGACCGGCCGCCGCGCGCCGGCGTGCCGTCAACTCCGATCGGTGGGCCGTTCGGCACAGCCACCTGGCGCGGGCCGCGCCGTGCTCCGCACAGGCACGACCGGCTGGCAAAAACACCGTCACCGGCTCTATTTCTCACGACTTTTTTACGTTTTTGTTAACGACGCCTCTTTTTGAAGCCTCATACCAGACGTAGTTATGTTTGATTTAAGTCGTCATGCATATTAGGATTTACTGGTTCTGTGTCTTGCTTTCTGTATAGCATAAATCTCAATTGTTTTTAACTGTCTTGGAGAATCTTTCTGCGCTGCTTCTTCGGAACCAAGCCATCGACCGTGCAGCAGATGTGCTGGAGTGTAGAGATGCGTGGGTTGTTTCTGGCTAAGTCCAGCTGGCTGCGTAGGATCTCCTGCACTGAGAAAAAAAAATTATTCCCCAGGGGTGTTTTACGGGTGTCAGACACCATTGGAGGTGTCATCGAACACCCAGATTGGTGTTGAAAAATGCTGTTTAGGGAATCATTAAGGTGTACAACACCACGATGACACCCTTTCAAGTGTTCGTTCGCATGCGAGTGTTTAGATATACCTTAATGGGATTCAGCATGACACCTTAATAGGTGTCCGACACCCACACCCATCCGGGTATCAAACACTCTAAGGTATCAAACACCCTAAAAGGTGTCAAAAATGTTCTTTTAAAAGCATCTGACACCCTTATGATGCCTTCACAGGTGTTGCCATTTATTGAAGCGGAATGTTAAAAGTGTCCGACACTGCTAGAGGTGTCACATTGACACTTGCAAAAGGATCTGACACCAAAAACAGCGTGAAAAAAAATGAGGAAAAATATTCCCATGGGGTGTCTCACGGGTGTCGGACATCATTGCAGTGTCATATATAACGCCCAGATTGGTGTCAAAAATGTTGTTTTGGGAATCATGGAGGTGTACAACACCACGATGACAACCTTCAAGTGCAACGCGCTTTTAAACACACCATAATGGGATTCAGAAAGACACATTAATGGGTGTCCTACACCAACATCCATTCGGGTGTCAAACACCCTAAACCATCAACACTTCAAAAGGTGTAAAAAAATGTTCCTTAAAAGGGATCTGATACCCTTGTGATACCTTCACGTGTGTTGTCATTTGTTGAGGAACATTCCAGCATGAGTCACGAAATGTTGGAAAGCTGTCGTGTATTCGAACCTAAATCATTACATAAATTGTTCTGACGTCACTTGTGTTAGGAACCAGGGATGCGTTGTCTAACGGATTTTCAGTGACTCGGACTCCCGCTCTGTCTTCCAAAATGGACTCCTATTCCGGCCAGAACTGCCAACTCCATCAGACTCCGACTCTGACTCCGTAGCACTGCTAGAAACCACAGCAGGTCCAGTGGTTTGAATCATTACCCAATCAGCAAGCTGCATTGTGTGACGTCATTTGTGTACTGGTCACGGCGTCAACCATGCGAAGATCAAAAAGCGCCACCTTGCAGGAAAGCCGTTAGATTTCAGTTGGCGGCGGCGTGACCACGTGTTGCGTGTGGGGTGTGAGTGATGGAGGGCTTTTTTGAATTTATGTGGATATAGTGGCGCCGAACGTTGTTCGCAGTGTACCTACTTCTTCAAGTGATTGTGCGTTAATGATAATGTTTAGCTTTTATTTGTAGCTTGCTCCTTGTTTATTCAAATGACGAGGCGGCCGGTACTCGGTGAAATTTGAAGACTGGAGTGAGGATGACAACACAGCATTGCACCATGGAAACGAAAGCAAGTGAACTGCGGAATAACATCTGGTTGGAGATAATCGACGGTTAATTATCATTGCTGAAGCCTGAAATGCGAGCAACTTCTCACTGTGAATGGACCCGATGTGTTTCGGTGAGTTTTCATTGGATTTCTCCGTAAATATAGAGCCCATATTTTTGTACTTTATATAGTTTGTTGCTGTATACAAAATAGGAATGCCATCTTGCGATATGTATGCGATATGCCTGTTTGAACCAATAAATGTAAGAATGTGTCGACACCTTTTTTGGCATCCAATGGACACTCTCGTAACACCTTTAAGGGTGTGTACCAAACTGCACCTCGCTGGGGTGTCAGACGGGTGTCACTTTTGACACCAATACAGGTGTCATTGGGAATCAAACACCGGGTGTCTGACACCCTTTTGGGTGTGCACCCAAAAGGGTGTCAGACACCTAAAAGGGTGTCAGACACCCGGTGTTTCATTCCTCATGACACCTGTATTGGTGTCAAAAGTGACACCCGTCTGACACCCCAGCGAGGTGCAGTTTGGTACACACCCTTAAAGGTGTTCCAGGGGAATAATTTTTTTTCTCAGTGTGGGAGATGTGGTGGTATGCGTTACCTCAGCGCGCTGGCTTCGCCAGTCTTTCCGATCAGTAAGACTGTCCCATCGGATATCTGCCGCTGAAGGCCTCTCAGAAACCCTGGGGAGAAACTATAGAGCTGTGAGATCCGACAGCAAGCGCGTGGCCTAACTGCCTCGGACTGCGGCGGCGTTGATACCGACCCTGGGGACCGTCTGCCGGCGGTGGCAGCTGCGCCCGTGAGTTGTTACGGCACCGCCCTGGCCGTGACTGCGACGAGACTGAGAGCTGGGTACGGGGTTGTGGGTGTGATAGAGTAGCGGCACGGCGCTACTGACGGGCCTTGGGAGAGGATTATCCTCTCAGCTCGGTTGATCGGCGCTCGACCAGCCGCCGATCTCAACACCTGGGGACAGGGTGACGACCGACAGCGGAAAAAGACGCTGGCTGAGGCCAGTCAGACCGACTAGCATCCTGGGAATCA